TAGCCATGGATTTACATGTATTCCCCATCCCGGTCCCCCCTCCCACCTCCCTCTCCACCCGATCCCTCTGGGTCTTCCCAGTGCACCAGGCCCGAGCACTTGTCTCATGCACCCAACCTGGGCTGGTGATCTGTTTCACCCTAGATAATATACGTGTTTCGATGCTGTTCTCTTGAAACATCCCACCCTCGCCTTCTCCCAGAGTCCACAAGTCTGTTCTATACATAGGAGTCTCTTTTTCTGTTTTGCATATAGGGTTATCGTCACCATCTTTCTAAATTCCATATATATGTGTTAGTATACTGTAATGGTCTTTATCTTTCTGGCTTACTTCGCTCTGTATAATGGGCTCCAGTTTCATCCATCTCATTAGAACTGATTCAAATGAATTCTTTTTAATGGCTGAGTAATATTCCATGGTGTATATGTACCACAGCTTCCTCATCCATTCGCCTGCTGATGGGCATCTAGGTTGCTTCCATGTCCTGGCTATTATAAACAGTGCTGCGATGAACATATAGTTTCTGTTTTATGTTTTGGGTTTTGGCCCGGAGGCATGTGGGATCTTAGCTCTCCAACCAGGGATCAAACCTGCACCCCCTGAATTGAAAGACGAAGTCTTAACCACAGGACCGTCAGGGAAATTCCAGAACATGTTGCTTTAAATGGCAAAAGGGACTTTGCAGCTGTGATGAGGTTAAGGCCCTTGAGAGGAGGAGATGATTCAGGTGGCCCCAAGACAACCACAGTGGCCCTTAGAAGAGGGGAGGCAGAGGGCCTCAAAGAGAGAAGAGGCCCTATTGGCTTTGAAACTGGCTCAGGGAGCCATGGACCAAGACACATAGGTGGCTGCTAGTTGGTTTTTCCAACTAGTCATGTACAGATGAGAGAGTTGGACCATAAAGAAGGCTGAGAACAGAAGAATCGATGCTTTTGAACTGCGGTGCTAGCGGATACTCTTGAGAGTCCCTTGGACAGAAGATCAAACCAGTCAGTCCTAAAGGAAATCAACCCTGAATATTCATTGGAAGGACTGATGCTGAAGCTGATGCTCCAACACTCTGGCCACACGATGCAAAGAGCCGGCTCACTGGAAAAGACCCTGATGCGGGGAAAGATTGAAGGTGGGAGGAGAAGCGGGCGACAGAGGATGAGATGGTTGGATGGCATCACCGACTCAATGGACATGAATTTGAGAAAATTCCGGGTGATAATGAAGGGCAAGTGACCCTGGTGTGCTGCAGTCCATGGGGTCCTAAAGAGTCAGACACGACTGAGCAACCAAACAACAAAACAAAGAAGGTAGAAAGGGCCAGGAAACGGATTCTCTTTCACCAAGAGCCTCCTAGAGAGCAGCGCCTGGAGTCTCCCCAGCGACACACATTGTGGACTCCTGACCTCCAGACTCTATGATGATAAACGTGTTATTTCAGCTACTAGGCTTGTAATCTCTTACAGTAGGCAGAGCAAACAAACCTGCCCACTCCTAGCTGGGTTGCCCAATTCTCACCAGCCCTGCAGGCTCCCAAGGGGTCTCTCCCACTCCACAGCAGTGCCCCCCAGCAGAGACCTGAGCCCCTCAACCTCCCACCCTAGCCCCCAGGCACCTGTCCACCCACTCTCAGCTCAGAAGGAACCCTTCTCCGGGCTCAACCTCCACTTAAAGCCCACGAGAGTGGCCAGCCCACCACGCCCTGCCACACCCCAGGGACGCTGCTCCAGCAATGACCCCTTCTGCCAGCCCTGCCCTCTCAGCTGGCTCCCCTCCTGATCTCAGGCTTGCTTGTACTTGTGCTCAGTCATGTCTGATTTTTCTGCGACCCCATGGACTATAGCCCGCCAGGCTCCTCTGTCCATGGGATTCTCCAGGCAAGAATACTGGAGTGGGTTGCCATGCCCTCCTCCAGGGGATCTTCCCAACCCAGGGATCAAACCCATGTCTCCGGTGTCTCCTGCATTGGCAGGCAGGTTCTTTAACACAAGTACCACGTGGGAAACCCCTCCAAATCTCTAAGCTTGTTCAAATTGTTCCTCAATAAAAAGTAAACACAGGGCTTCCCCGGCAGCTCGGTGGTAAAGAATCCACCTGCCGATGCAGGAGACACAGGTTCCATCCCTGAACCAGGGAGATCCCACCTGCCATGGAGCAAATAAGCCCATGCGCCGCAACTACTGATTCTGTGCTCTGAAATCTGGGAGCCACAACTGATGAAGCCCTGCACCCTAAACAGGGCCTGGGCTCCTCAACAAGAGAAGCCACTGCAATGAGAAGCCTGTGCACAACTAGGGCGTAGCCCCCACTCCCTGAAACTAGACAAAGCCCGAGCAGAAAGGAAGACCCGGCCCAACCATAAATAAATAAATATTTTAAATAATAAAGGTAAAAACAAAAGCCCCCTTTACCCCAGCCTGCATCCTCAGCCCCCCTGACTACGAGCTTCTCTTCCACATTCTCAGATTCACCCCGGACCACCAATCTCCTTCCTCCCTCAGCCACGACCCCTCCAAGCCCACTTCCCCTTTCCTGTCCTCCTCTCCCAAGGCTGCTGGCACCTTCTCTGGAAGGACTTCCTCACTAGCCTGGCCTTGCACCTCCCTCTTCTTCCAGGTCAGCCCTTCCATGGAAGGACCCCAGGGACTTGGGGGTCTGTCCACAACCCAAAGACTCCCCTCAACTCCTCAACCCCACATCTGCCATCTTCACCTTTAGCAAAGAGCAACTGTTTGAACAGAGAGCTGGCCTCTCCCCCAGGCCTGGTTGGGAGGTAAACTGAGTCTCACACAATGGAAGCACCTACCAAAATTTAACACGCAGGAGTTCCTTTAACCCAGCGATTCCTCCTCAGGTATATGCATCGGAGCTGACGCCACACACTGAGGCAGTGACAGACGCTGAGCACACAGGGGTACCCACTGCCCTGTTGCTAGAAACCACTTAACTGTCCACCAGCAGAGAACTGGGTAGACCAGTCACGCTCCATCCACACAGGGGAATGGCATGCAACCATCAAGGCTGAACGAGGAACTTCACGTGTGGAAACACAGATATCCCTGCAATATTAACCGACTACTGTGTAAAAAAAGCCCAAATGGTGTTTATCGTCTCAGGCCATCACTGGTGTACAAGGAAGAAGGATACACACATTTCCTTATAAAATACGCATGAAATGTCTCCAAATGGATACGCAAGGAAATGATACAGTAACCGGAAATTCTCTGGCAGTGCAGAGGTTAGGACTCAGCGCTTTCACCGAACCACCCAACCTAAAGGTGGGGGAGGAAAAAAAGAAACAGATAACAGTGGCTGCCTGTAAAAGGAGGACAGAGATACACTGAGGAATGTAGCTGGATTAATGCTTTTCACTCTTAGACTCGGTCTTTTGTATACTGAGCCATAGCAATACTACATAGTCAAAAAATTAAGAAATTATTTAAGTTAAATATAATTATAACATAATAAATTTGTAGTTCTATGATCTATTCTTCAGAATTGGTATTAATTATAACATACTTATAATTAAATGCTTTACAATTAAATTAAATTTAAAATATAATAAACTTTTTTTTTTTAAATAGGGACAAACAGCCTTTCTGCAAACCCCATATCTGCCCTTCCCAGGTTGGTATCTCACATCCTCCCACTTCTGCGTGAAATGACATCATCAGTCCCTGGTCCCATGACTGGTGTTTCATGCCCATCAACTGGCCTTCGGTCCCTCCCTAAGGGTTTGCAGACAGATTTTCAAGTTACTGATTACTTCTCTTCGGTCAGAAGACATGAACACCACCACTTGCTCTATCTCAGTCCCAAATCTGTACTGACAACATCCTATCGGCCACAGTAAAACTCTGCTCTTTGCGTTTTGCACTGTGGTCTATTTTTCATGCAGGAAGTTCTAAAAGCTGAGGGTGGATGTGGGATTGTGAGCCGGGTGGCAGGGGCCCTCCCTCATGGGCCTTAAGGAGCCCATTTGAGGAGGGAAAGTGAACCAGCCTGGGAAGACATGGGAGCAAACACAAAGGGGAAACTGAGCCCAGATTCTAAGGCAAGCGGAAGGTCTAAGAGAAGGACGCAGGCAAGGGAAACAGGAGGGGGATGCAGAGGCAGGCACACCTGTGTTCCATGGGGAAGTGACAGAGGTGGCCAGGAGGGTGGGGCCAGGCTACAGCGGCCTTTTCGCCATCAAGAGCCCGGCCCTGGGACTTCCCGGCAGTCCAATGGTTAGGTGAATTCACTCGGTCGTGTCCGACTCTATGCGACCCCATGAACACCAGGCTCCTCCGTCCATGGGATTTTCTAGGCAAGAGTACTGGAGTGGGTTGCCATTTCCTTCTCCAGGGGATCTTCCCAACCCAGGGATCGAACCCAGGTCTCCCGCATTGTAGACAGACGCTTTACCCTCTGAGCCACCAGGGAAGTCCAACGGTTAAGACTCCACGATTTCACTGCAGGGGATGTGGGTTCAATCCCTCGTCAGGGAACTAAGAGCCCCCACATGTTGCACAAACAAAATAAAACAAACAAAAAAAAAGCCTAGTCCAGGCGAGGTGGGGACGGGGCCAGATCTTTCAGCCAGGGAACCCCGCCCCCCAAGCAGGTTCTGTTTCATTAACCAGCAGCTCAAAAGCGACTTGAAAAACCCCCTCCAAGTTTTCAACTCCTGCCAAGGATAATTCAGATTCTAAAAATAAGCCTCAAAACCTAGAATATCAGGAGAAAGCAGCCACAGCAAAAACCACCCAACAAGTCCTCGTCAGCATAAACACACACCAAAGGCCCGACGGCCCATAGCCAAGGGCTTCTCTCCCCAGATCACAGAATCAGCAGGACAAAAACTCCAGGCTCGTAACTCCTAGTGTTGCTATCGTCTGACCGAGGCCCTTTTTTCAATATCCCTCCCCTGAAAGTCTCTTAATCATTTTCTAAAATGATCCCCTGTTTCTCTCTGCCTCCTTAAGAGTCTGCAAAAGAAAAAAAAGAGAGCTAGAAAAACGCTCACCTCGGAGGCTTGTGGTCCTGTGACACCCCAGGCTGCGGACAGCCCCCATCCAGTCCCCCCATTTGCTGTTTCAAGGCTTCTGAGGGCGCCCCGTGGGTAAGAACTCTGTGTAAAGTAAGAGCTACTAGCTTCCCTGGAAGCCTCCCATAAGGAAAGTCAACAAGCTGGGCATTTGTCTTGATGATAGCTACCTGCGTTACTTGGGAGGCTCCTATTTGCTTATTTCCTAAATTCTGGCCATATTCCAGATGACTGTGGGTTTTATAACTGTCATGTCTTTGAGAATTATAAAAGTGTTTCCTTCAGCGAGACTTCAGGTGAGGATAGGGTGGTAAACATTAACCTCCTGCAGTCTTTTCAGCCTTCCCCTGGCCTATCCATAACAATCCCAGCCCTGGATGATGTACGCCTTCCTCATACGTCCTAATTGCTTCCTGTCTGCAAATTAGATTCTGTTTCCCTAACTGGCCCGCATCACACCCCTCTGGGGAAGGGCTGTGATCCTTGTTTCTCTGGATTCTCCCTCCACAGAGCTTTGGGGAAAGCGACGCACAGACTACCTCCTAGCCAGAGATTTCACCCGCATAGATGGCATATACGTCCCATATGTGATGCGGCAATCTATAGCGTAAGCTCGAAGAGTTTATTGGCAGGGCGTAGTTTTTCCAGTTTGACATACAGCACTGTATAAGTTTGGGGGCTTCCCAGGTAGCTAAAGTGGTAAAGAATCCACCTGCTAACACAGGGGACGTGGGTTAGATCCCAGAGTTGGGAAGATCTCTGGAGAAGGAAATGGCCACCTACCCTGGTACTCTTGCCTGGGAAATCCCATAGACAGAGAAGCCTGGTGGGCTACAGTCCCTGGGGTCACAAAGAGTTGGACACCAACTTAGCAACTGAACAACAACAACTGTGTAAGTTTTAGGTGTACAACATAATGATTTCCCTTAAACACATCATGAAATGATCACAAGCAGTTTAGTGAACAGCCATCCTCTCATAGTCTCAACACTAAAGAAACAGGAAAAAATTCTCTGCCTGAGAACACTGATTTACTCTCTTAATAAGTTTCATGAATAATGTATAGTATGTTCATTATATTTATTATGAATTTACATTCTGATTACTTAGAGAACTAAGTATTTTTGTTTTTTTATGTGTATTTTTATGTTTTTTACTTTTTTAAACTTTTTATTTTATACTGGAGTATAGCTGATTGATAATATTGTGGCAGTTTCAGGTGGACAGCAAAGGAATTCAGCCATACAGATGCAAGTACCCATTCTTCCCCAGACTCCCCTGCCATCCAGGCCACCACGTAACATTTAGCAGAGGAGTGTGTATTTTTTAAATAGAGAAGAAAAGACAAATTTTCTTAAAGAATTCCAAATGACATGTGTAGAAGCGCCCTCCCTCTAAGTGAAAGTGAAGTCTCTTCCGTCGTGTCCAACTCTTTGTTACCCCAAGGGCCGTAGCCTACCAGGCTCCTCCGTCCATGGGATTTTCCAGACCAGAGAGCTGGAGTGTGTGGCCATTTCCTTCTCCAGGGGATTTTCCTGACCCAGGGATCAAATCCTGGTCTCCTGCATTGCAGGCAGATTCTTTACCATTTGAGCTACAGGGAAGTCTCTTCTCCCTCTAAGAGGTAGAGCTTAATCTTGACCCTTCATCTCCTGGATGAGGCCTTGTGTGATAGCTCAGTTGGTAAAGAATCTGCCTGCAATACAGGAGACCTCGGTTCGATTCCTGGGTCAGGAAGATCCGCTGGAGAAGGGATAGGCTGCCCACTCCAGTATTCTTGGGCTCCCCTTGTGGCTCAGCTGGTAAAGAATCCGCCTACAATGCGGGAGACCTGGGTTCGATCCCTGGGTTGGGAAGATCCCCTGGAGAAGGGAAAGGCTAGTGGTCTATGAAAAGAGAAAAAGAGGAACTCTGCTACAGGGAAAACTGTCAAACACCACCAGCGATGTCATCTGAGTATCATGTTGTACCCCCTGATGTGATGTGAAGAGCCCTTCATCTCGGTGGCCTTCTCCCCCCAAACCAGTAACCCCAGTAGAATCACAAGACAAACATCAGACCAACCCAATGTGAGGGAAATTCTACAAAATCTTTGCCCATTACTGCTTAGAAACAGCTATGAAAAACAAGGGAAGATTGGGAAACCAGAGGAGACAGGAGGAGACTTGGTGATGGTGTGATTAAATGTAGTGTGGTCCCCTGGATAGGGTCTGGGAGCAGAAAAAGGGACATTAGCAGAAACTTCAAACAATGTCTGGAGGGTGAGCGACAGTGAAGTGCCAGAGTTAGTTTCCTAGTTTCACAAACGTCCTGTGGTGATGATGTAAGATGTTCACAGATGGGGGAAGACATTCACAGCGGGGAAACTAGGTGAGGGGTGGATGAAAAACTCCTTGCACTAACTGCTACGTTCTGGCAAATCTAAAATTAAACTATCAGATGGAGGTTTCCCTGGTGGCTCACTGGCTAAGACCCCCGAGAGGGCCCAAGGTCAGGGAACTAGATCCCGCATGCAATAACTAAGATCCCGCACAGCCAAATAAATAAATATTTTAAAAAAAAAAAAAACCTTTGAGATGAACTGGAGCAGGGCAGGCCTTACTCAAAAGCATACAAGTTCAGATTTTAAAGACAAAACAGGGCTTCCGTGGTAATCCAGTGGTTAAGAATCTGAATGCCAATGCAGGGGACACAGGTTCAATACCTGGTCCAGGTAGAGCCCACGTTCCTCAGGACAGCTGAGTTCTTACGCTGCAACTACAGAAGCCTGCATGCCTGCCTAGAGCCCACGCTCCACAGCAAGAGAAGCCACCGCAATGAGAAGCCCACGTGCGCAACTCAATAGTGGCTCCCGATGGCTGCAGCTAGAGAAAAGTCTGTCCAGCAACGAAGACCCAGCGCAGCCAAAACCAATAAATGAGTCTTTTTTTTAATTAAAAAAAAAAATCAAGATGCCATCAAAAAGAAGTTTAAGGTTTAATTTACTTTTTTTTTTAAAAAAGAAAGTTTCCTTGTTTTTCCCCTCATGTATTTTGGTTAAATGGAAAGGATTAGTGGAGACGGGGGTGATGATCAGGGTTTCTAGTATTTCTCTCTGACCGATTACCAGATAGGTACACAGGTAGATAGATAGACGACTACCAACTACCAGATAGATACACAGGTAGGTAGGCAAACAGATAGATACATAGATACCCCCATTTTAAGTGAATAAGCCTTAAAGTTTAATGAATCTCCTCCCAGCTTTTGCACACTGATGCCTGGCCACAAATAGGTGACAAACTATATATATATATATCTCACCATAAATAGGTTAAGTGGCCACAGGTAGGTGATAAACTCTTCTAAAAATACATCCTCCTGCTGGGTATAGTTTTCTGGATTTAGGTATTAGATGAACACACAAAAGGGCAAGGCCTTCAGAGAGAAGATAAGGCAGCCTTTTCACCACCAACTTAATCTCTAAAATCAGTTCTTTCAGGAAGAGAAAGAGGAAGATTATTCAATTCCATTCCCTGCCCCCACAGTCCAGGCCCCAGAAAAGAATCTTGCATGGAGAGAATACAGGCATTAGAGAAATGACCCCAGGGAAAAAGACATTCCTGCGCAAAAAAGGACACACACACATGCAAATTGTCGGGCCTCCTAAGAAAATAGCCAAGTTTGTACACAAGGTGGGGAACCAGCTGAGGAGGTCAAAGAGAGCTGGTCTTTCACGGTCTCTGGAGAAAACTATTCTCCACAATCTATTAGGAGGAAGAATTTAGACAAAAAGGGAAACTGGGATCTCCAACTCTCTTCGGGAGAGGAAGTGAGAAATTACACTAAGGTTCTTAGGCCAATGAACCCCAAATAAATTCAGTCTACCTCCATTAAAAATACAGGAGCTCACAGGCAAAGATTTCAGAGACGTGTTTTCATATTCCATCTTCCGAATTCAGTTTCTTTCACCAGGCAAAGATATAGTGACCACAATCTGAGAGTCAGGTTCAAATATGGCTTAAGTACAAATTACAGTGATTTGTGGAATGGAAAATGCTTCCACGGGGGAGCTGGGCTGCACCCCCAGAATCAAAGGGAAACAATTCCCCCCCTGGATTCCTGTTGAAACCACATCCCCAGTTTCCACATGAATGACGGTTTTTGATGAAACAGCACAATGAGAACATTAATAGGACTGCATCAGGAGACAAAATTATACGTACCCTGATTACAACTTCATAAAAAGACAGGCACCGTGACAAGAAGCCGCCAAATAAGGAAAACTGATGCTAGCTGTCTCATTCACAGGCTGAGATTATACCGGATACTCTTCGTTATCTTTCATGCTTTCTGTTATATTGTTATTTTTTACATAACTTTAAAAAATACCAATGCAGCCTTTCTGAATAATCTCCCTGGACTCAAGGATAGGGTGAGTCAATGCTATGCTCTTACATTTACACCAGGAACACCGTCAATTCTAAAATTCCATGAGAGGAAATTCCCTGGCAGTCCAGTGGTCAGGATTTCCTCCTTGCTTTCACTGCAGGGGGCATGGGTTAGATCTCCCAAAATAAATAAATTTTTTTAAAAAGAAAAGAAAAAACCCCACAAGCTAAGTAGCTTAAATTCTTCACCATTACTTTCCCTGACGTTAACACCCACAAAGAAGAAAGTGCCTCTGACTTTTCGGATCTTGGTGAATTAACTTCCTACCTACTAGGTAAACAGGGAGTTGCCACTGAGACACCCGTGATATTTACTTTCTTCTGTCCAGGCCCTAAGTCTTATGAAAGTACACACTGTTCTTCTACAGAAATAATCTGCAATCAAAAGACAACTTCATTGGCTACAAAAGTGTTATCCCAAACGCTCGGAGCTCCAGTGCAGGTGCAAACAATAAGATGAAATTGTGAGGACCCAGGAAAGTATCACTTAGAGCTCAAACAACCCCGATCAGTAAACACCAGTTCAGAACTGGGCAGGGTTGGGGAAAAACCAACCAACCATGGGGAACAGGCACCCAAGACAGGGACGCAGGTACTGAAGTACACCAGAGTCAAGGAAGGCTATTTGCTTGGTGAGACGGACCACCTTGCCCAAAGAGCTATTTTCATTGCAGTAAAAGCACAGATAGAAGACAGGTCACAGTGTCAAGACTCTAGGACTTCGAGTCATGGAACTCATTTTTTTCCACCATCACTGTAGCTAGGTGGATTCATTTTCAGTGGGAGAATTTTAAGTCCTTGATGGGCATACTCCCATTCTCAGAGTGGCAAAATAGCACTGCCAGTCATGGGTAAAAGCAAGGAAACATGCCCTGTCTATCTCTTTGAAAATGAACTTGGGCTGGAAATGCCTTCCGGTTCCTTTGCCCTCAGGGGCTTCCCTTTTACTGTCCTCAACTATGGGCTAGCCTGCACCTCCTCCAAAGCTTTGCTGAGCCTCTTCTGCTCATTTGGAATACAAATGTACCTTCTGTGACGTGTATACTCAGGTCTCTGCTTTTCTATAAAATTTTCCCTGACTCATAGCCCACTCCTTTCCATTTCTTTCAATCCTTTCACAGTCAAGGGCGTGGATGAGCACTGACTATCCACCTGTGTTTTTTTCCATTTTCCACCTGCAGCATAAACCCCTCAGAACCTAGAACCATTTCATCTGTGTCCTTTACAAGGCTAGAGTCGCATTTTATTTACCTACAACCATCCAGTAGAAAAGCGACTAAAGGAACAAAGGAAAGTTTACTCACCAGATAGTGAAATGACTTCAATCTAGTATTTAGAGACTTAAGAAATTGATCCTCCATCTCAGATCAATCACTGAGTCACTTAATCCACAAACACATTACAATGAGGGTACTTTCACAAATGTGAATAAAAGCATCTATTATTCATGCCTTCAAGTAACAGGAAAGAGGGAAGATGGGCCCCTCCCATCGTAGATCTACAAAAGATGTTTCTTGGAGAGTCTGGGGAACCTTTAAACCCCAGTGCAAGGACTGGTTGAGAGGTAAGCCAGGAGCAACATGGGTGTTATTCTATACCAGGTAGAGCAAGTCACCTGCTTGCAGGCCTCCGAGTCAACTTCGATAAAACCAAACACGCTGGTGGAGTCCCCAATACCAGCTCATGCTGGACAGGGTGTCCAGGTGAGTCTCATTTTAAGAGTCAATCAGAGATGGCTGGGGTGGGGGGGGGGCGTGGTTAAGAAGATAAGGGAGGCAGTCAAGCTCACAGTAATGCAAACCACATCTTTCCTTAAAAGGGCCCCAGAGGAACCGCAGGGCCAACCTGTGTTCCAGACAGCCCTTGAACCAGCACCAGCTCACCCAGCCAAGGGTTTATTCCCCTTGGGAAGACGGGTGGGCAAGTCTTACCCTGATGCGCTAAGATGGGAAGGCCCTGTGCCTTCCAGAAACTGGATTTCCCAGCCACCAAAGCTCAGTCCGACATGCAATGACATCAGCCCCACTTATCCGAAGCACAAAAGCCACCAGAAAACTAATCAAAGACCAGCTGGCCTGATCCCTGGAATGCACAGTCGGTCCAGAATACCCAATTTCCCCATCACCTCCTCTCCTAACCTTGATGAAGGGTTTCTGGCACAACAATGACCCCACTGCCCAAATCACAGTGACCTGGAAACCAAAGAGAAAGAGGCCACCTGCCTAGCTGGGCGTGGAGGGCCAATGTCCACCTCGACGGCCTGTGCCACTGGCATGTATCTGGCAGCGGCAGTGGATGGGGTCCCGGCCCACCCCTGCGCTCATAGGGTGCCTACCTTACCGCCCCCCGCTCCGCGAAGGCTCTAGCCAGGGCCCTGGTTCCGTTTGCTCTGCGTCCCGAGTTTTCATCTCTCGGGCGCTCCCTAGACCCGCCGGTGTCCGCTGAGAGTGGTCCTGAATACTGTGGGGAACCCCCTGGAGCGGGGGGTGGCGGGGATAAACAGATATCGTGAACCCCAGAAGTCGAATTTCTGGGACCGGCGTCGGAAATCTGTTGGGCTTTTTTTGTTTGGTTGGTTGGTTTTGTTTCTGAATCGCTGATAATCGGCGATAATGAATGTGGAAACTTGAACTTTAAGAGAGCAGCCACCAGAGCGAGACAAGACTTTCTTGAAAAGCCTCGGGGTGTCCTCTCCCGGGGAGGAGGCCCCGCGAGCAACACGGGGCGCACTTTCAGGTGGGGGCGGGATGACCCCACCGCGCTGGATCCACGGGCGATCGGCTGGGCAGCAGAAACGGGACCCAGCCTGGACTGCGGAGGGAACAAGAGCCAAGGGACTGGAAGCCCGGCCTCGCCAGCCCCGCGCGGAAGATCGCAGCGGGACTCCGGCGCCCTCTAACCACCTCGAACCCCGGGGACCCGCCAGCGTTCCGGGACACCGCCACCACTCCCGCGGAGTCCGGGGCGGGTGCTCGCTCCGCAAGGACCCCTCTCTCCACCCACCACCCGCTCGAAGCTCCACGGATCAACGCCCCGGTCGCTGTCCCCTCCCCATCGGCGACCCCAGCCCGCGCCACCGCCGCCCGCCAGCGCGCACCTCACTCACCGCCACGCGCGCCGCCAGTCGAGCCGAGAGGTCTGAGCAGACGGAGCTGGCTGGCGGACTGGCTGGAAGGCGGCGGGGAGGGGCGCCCGAAGGCGGGGGGCGGGGCGCTCCGGCTCCCTCTTCCGGCTTGTCCCCGCCTCTACGCGCCGCCTGGACCCGATCCTCGCCACTCGCGGGGGGCCGCCTCCCCCAAGCTAGAAACCCCACCAGGGACCTGCGACCCTCTGGCTTCTGCCCTTCCCCTCCACCGTTCCGATCTCCCGCTACCCTCGGAACACCCCCTGACGACACCCCCAGACCCCGCTTACTCCCTGGAACCCTCCAGTTTCAGCCCAGACCCCACTCTCCCCAGGGAGAGTGTCTCCCCTTTCGGGTTCTGCTCCCCGCCACGTGCCCGCACAACCTTGAACTCCCCTCCTGATTTCCATTCCCTCTCTGCTCTCCCCTGCTCCCCTGGGTCCCCATCTTCGGCATTTGTTCTCCTTCCCAGTTCTCAAATAATGCTGATCACCTCCAGATCCCTTGCCAAGGCATCCAGCGCTCCCTGCCCTCCGGCAGTCGGCCCTTTTCTCCCCAAACCTCAATTCTGTGCATTCAGATGCATCCAAGCAACCCAAGAAAACCGTGTGCCTTTGGGCATGTGCCCACTTTCTCTGGTCTCAGTCTCCTGTCTGTAAAATGGGCATAACAGTACCTGTCTCATAAGATCTACAGGGGTTTAGCTGAACCAATGCAGGCAAAGCGTTTTGCACAGATTGTGTTAAAGCAAACCTGTCCTAGCTGCTAACTATTGGGTTGGCCAAGAAGTTCATTCAGGTTTTCCATAAGATGAAACAGACAATCCCGAATGAACTTTCTGGCCAATCCAATACTTTGTATGCTCCCAGGGTGTCCCATGGCCCCTAGGTACTTTCTCAATCACTGAAAGCTCTGGAAATCAGTAACTACTATTTCAACATCCATCAACTCACTGCCCCTCAACATATGCTGCATCTATGATAAGAGCCTCTATTATCCTGCTACAGAAGTAACAGCAGCCCTGATTCTGCCAGCAAGGCCACCTGGAAAGTCATTTCAGGGCTTTTATGATGTTGGTATGGCTTTGAGGTGGAAAATCCTCTATCCATGGGATTCTCTAGGCAAGAACACTGGAGTGGGTTGCCATTCCCTTCTCCAGGGGATCTTCCTGACCCAGGGATTGAACCCAGGTCTCCTACATTGCAGGCAGATTCTTTACCATTTGAGCCACCAGGGAAGCCCCAAATACAGAGTCCTGGAGAACGGGCAGAACCCTATTGTGGCTCCCTAGAGAAATGCTACCTGGGCAGAGAGCCTAAGAGTCCCCTGTGGATTCACAGACCTGGATCACAGAACTCTTCTGGAGGTAGAACCTCTCCCCACCCCCCAGCTTCACAGAGAGCCAGGCAGAGTGACTGTCCCAGGCCTTACAGCAAACTGTTCCCCTTCTTCCCTGCCCAAAGGTCTCACCGCCTTTCACCAAGTGAACCCAGACACTAGCAGCCATGAACATAATACTCAGTTAAAAGAGGGTAATTCAAAGTCCTTCCCAGCATGAGAAATTGCCAGGTAGATGTTATTAGTGATGCCAATCTTTTCTTGTTTTAAAATTCTAGAGGAAAACAAAACATATACGCATTAAAAAAAAAAAAAACTATAGAGGGACTTCCCGGCAGCCCAGTGGTTGGGACTCTGCACTTAACAATGCGGGGGGCACAGGTTCAATCCCTTTGTCAGGGAACTAAGGATCCCACAAAAACAAAACCAAGAATAAACAAACAGATATAAACCCACACATACGTGGGCAATGGGTTTTTGAGAAAGGTACTGAGACCATTTCATGGTAAGAGAGTCTTTAGGGCAAGTGGTGCTGGAGCAACTGCATATTCACACTCAAGAGAGTGAAGCTGGATCCCTACCTCACACCATATCAAAAAATGAATTCAAGATGGAAAAACTATAAAACTCTTAGAAGGAAACAAAAGTGTAAATCCTGTGATCCTGGATTAGGCGATGGTCTCTTAAATATGACATCAGAAGCTTAAGCAACAAAAAGAAAAAATGGATAAATTTAACTTCATCAAAATTGAAAAGTTTTTGTGCATGAAAGGACACTATTGGCATACTTTGTGTTTATTAAGGGTTCAGCTTCAGATCACCACAATAAAGTGAATATTGCAATAAAGCGACACACAAATGTTTTAGCTTCCCAGTGAATAGTAAATATATATTAACACTGTACTATAGTCAATTGTGTCTAATAGCATTATGTCTTTTAAAAAATACATACCTTAATTTTTAAAATACTTTATTGCTAAAAATTGCTAACCATCATCTGAGTCTTCAGAGAATTTAGTAGTAATAACAAAGATCACAGATCACCATAACAAATATAATAGTCATGAAAAAGTTTGAAAGATTTAAGGAATTACCAAAATGTGACAGAGAGATAGACAGAAGGTAAGCAAATACTGTTGAGAAAATGACTTCAATAGACTTGCTTAGCAAAGTTGCCACAGACCTTAAATTTCTAAAAAAAAAAAAAACAAAACTTGCCATATCTGCAAAGTGCAATAAAGTATTTGCACTTTATTTATAAAGCAAACCAGCATAAAACAAGGTATGCCTATATCAAGAGAGTGAATAAACAATCCACAGAATGGGAGAAAATATTTCCAAATCACTTAATCAGGACCTAGTATCCAGATTTTATAAAGCGCTCTTACAAATCAACAACAAAAAGACATCAACTCAGTTTTTTAACTAGGCATTGGGATGGTGGAAAAGTTCTGGAGAAATGCAAAACTATCAATAGGCAGAGCACAGAGAAATTTTAGGGCAGTGAAAATACTCTATATGATATTATGATGGATGAGTACATGTGTGCTCAGTCGCTCAGTTGTGTCTGACTTTCTGTGGATATATGTCATTATATTTGTGGATATTTGTGGATATCTGTGGATACATGTTATTATATTTGTGGTATTTGTAGATATATGCCATTATATTTGTCAATATTTGTGGATATATGTCATTATATTTGTCCAAACCCTTAGAGAGAAGGAAATGGCAACCCACTCCAGTATCCTTGCCTGGAAAACTCCATGGATGGAGGAGCCTGGCAGGCTACAGTCCATGGGGTCGCAGAGTCAGACACAACTGAGTGACTTCACGTAGAGTATACCACAGCAAGAGGGAACAGTGGGGGCCCCTGGTGACTCAGTGGTAAAGAATCCACCTGCTAGTGCAGGAGACACGGGTTCAATCCCTGGTCTGGGAAGACCCCACATGCTGCGGAGCTACTGAGTCTGCAAGCCACAACTACCGAGCCTGCGCTTTGGAGCCCAGGAACCACGCCGCCCACTACGGAAACCCACGTGCCCCAGAGCCTGTGCTCCGCAACAGGAGAAACCACCCCAGTGAGGAGCCCTGCACATTGCAAGAAAGAGTAGCCCCCACTCATCACAGCTGGAGAAAAGCCTGAGCAGCAATGAAGTCCCAGCACAGCCAAAAATGAGTAAGATAAAATTATATATATATGGGCTTTCCTGGTGGCTCAGATGGCAAATAATCCACCAGCAATGCAGGAGACCTGGGTTAGATCCCTGGATTGGGAAGATCTCCTGGAGGAGGGCATGGCAACCCACTCCAGTATTGTGGCCTGGAGAATCCCATGGACAGAGGTGCCTGGCGGGCTACAGTCCATGGGGTCGCAAAGAGTCTGACATGACTGAGTGACTGAGAACACACACACATATATTTATGTGTATATATGCTATGCTGTGCTTAGTCATGTCTGACTCTGTGCAACCCCATGGACCGTAGCCCATCAGGCGCCTCTGTCCATGGGATTCTCCAGGCCAGAATACTGGAGTGGCTTCCCATGTCCTCCTCTAGGATGCGTGTGTATATATATATTCCCACATGCCTCAGAGCAACGAAGCGTATGCGCCACAACTACTGAGCCCTCGAGCCAGAACAAAAAAGCCCCGTGTACCTCAACTAAGACCTGACACAGCCAAATGCATAAATAAATAAAGATATTAAGGACTTCCCTGGTGGTCCAGGGGTTGAGAATCTGCCTGCCAATGCAGGGGACCCAGGTTCCATCCCTGGTCCTGGAAGATTTCACATGCCATGGGGCAACTAAGCCCATGCACCACAACTACATGCACACCCATGCTCTAGAGAGCAAGGCTGTAACTACTGAGCCTGTGTGCCACAACTACTGAAGCCCATACACTGCGGAGCTGGTGCTCTGCAACAAGAGATGACGCCACAGTGAGAACCTGTGCACCACAGCTAGAGAGTAACCCTGGCTTCCCGAAACTAGAGAAAGCCCACGCTCAGCAACGAAGACCTCACAGCCAACAATAAAATAGATAAATAAAATTTTTAAAAATAATAATTATATATATATATTTAAAGTGAATCCTAAAAAAAAATAAAGTGAACCCTAATATAAACTATGGATTTGGGTGATGATGAGATGTCAGTGTAAGTTCATCAATTGTAACAAATGCACTGTTATCAACCAGGGTTCTTGGACCTCCCTAGTCAATAGAAATTGGTTAAGAGGCCAGACCAGAACTTCAGGCAAGGCTTTATCGGGGCTTCTGCTACAGCCGGAAGGATCGAAAACAAGTAACAGGTTCCCTTGCTCCTCTCCAAGGGGAGCTGGTTTCTGAAATGGAGTGCGGGTAGGAGTGGGTCTAGAGGTCGGGATGGAGGTGATTTAGGTGGTTTGCATACCCCTAAGGTGGTATTGTATACCAGTCGTATGCAGTTTTTAATCCCAACTCTTCAGAACCTTGGTGGCTTAGACGGTAAAGAATCTGCCTGCAATATGGGAGACCTGGGTTCGATCCCTGGGTTGGGAAGATCCCCTGAGAAGGAAACAGCAACCCAATCCAATATCCTGGCCTGGAGAATTCCATGGACAGAGGAGCCCGGCAGGCTATAGCCCATGGGGTGGCAAAAAGTCGGATGCAATTGAGCAACTTTCACTTTCAGAAGTGGTAGTTGGGTGTTTCTGATCTTTTTTTATCTTGTCCAAAATTTGCCCCAAGTGTACAGGCATTCAGCTATTTTTAGTCTCATATAGTTTCTTTGTGTTTTGTTGCCCAAGGAGAGGTTTGTCCAGGTGCAAGCCGGGCAGCAAAGAGGCCCAGGTCCCAGGCCCTAGCCCTGTCTCAGTACCGCTCTAGTGGGGAATGTTGATAATAGGGGAGGATATGTATTTGTGGAGACAGGGAGTATACGGGAACTTCCCGTAACTTCCTAAGTTTCTACAAATCTAAAACTGCTGTTTTTGGTCTTCGTTGCTGTGCAGGTTTTTTCTCTAGTTGCGGCTACTCTTCATTGCTCTGTAGGGGCTCCTCATTGCAGTGGCTTCGTGCTGGG